AAAAAAAAATGAAACAGCGAATCACGAAAACTGTGAGCGGTATCGGTAGTTTTCTCGCATGTACATTGTCTCGAATTTACCATGGTGTAATTCTACCTCAATCCGTAGTTTAGACACCTACCAAATTTTTCTCGTCGATTGTGCGATGCTTAGATGACTCGTTAGATTACCGCATCAGACTAATCCTTTTCGAAATACGTAAACGTAAAAATCAATCGTAATGTAATCTCGTAAGGATTCGTCTCTGGGCAAGTAAAAAGTAAATTAGAAAGAACCACGAAAGAAAAAGGACAAAAAAAAGAGTAATAATTGAATGAAAAATGACCAGGAAATTTGCATATTATGGTAAGACCCCGTGTAACGATATGTTTTATGAAAACCAAGTGCGAAATGAAATATTGTTAAACTAGGTCTTTTTAATACGTAAATAATGGAGATAGTCGAAACAGGACGTGAATAGGAAAATATACTATTTTCTGTTTTGTTCTATCTTGTAACATGTATTATGTAAAACTGTTTGAAAAACCTCGTTGCAGTGACTTAATACTGGAACTCTCGAGCAGTAAAGTTTACATTTTTAAATTTGTCTGTAGAAACTCTAAGATTTATAAATTATAAGTTATAACGTAGTTTGCGCGTTACTAAATCAATTTCTTTAATACTTAGAGAAGCATTCGTTATCTTTGGAATAATTGTAAAAGAATTCATGAAAGGGTTAAAATGGCCCATAGTTTCAGCGTTAATAAAGAATATTCGATTCAACGAAAACCACGTTAAACGGAGCAGCGTTCAACGGGGTCTTACCGTGATCCGGAAAATTCGTTAGCGTACCAGTAACAATCGCAGATACTTGTCCACGATCTCATCGTTGCAATCGGTTGTGCCTATCGGAAACGTTGAAAAAGGAAATTCGAAAGATGGGTTTGCTCGAAACACAATCATCGTATATGTAGAACGTCCGAAAGACGTCGGTTGTGGCTCATTGTGCTCCGACGAAGAGGAATCTGGAAAAAAGAGGAAAGACGTTAGAAATAATGACGGAGATATAGTGCAAATTTTAATATGAATGTACACAAACGTTTACCATTACTTACTATCGTATAGCGACGACTGTTGTTAGCTGGAATATTTCGTGCCTCTTATCAGTGAATTATCGTTAACCCGTCGATATACAATATTCGATCGTCCCCGGATATTAACTGCGACAGACAGGTGGACAAATTAAAGGAGTAAACAGACATCCGCGAATCGCAGGGAAATCGCGTGTGAACGCGACAAACGGATTCCGCGATCGTAGTTCGTACAGTTTTCATCTTTTCTAATGATCCGGTTGAGTGGATCGTAGGTGTCACGCTTCTTTCACCGTTCCGACGCAATGAACACCGTTAACCTGTTAACTGTGGAATGAAATTTCAAAAGTCTTTGATAATGCTTGCAATGGAATCAAATAATGTGTATACTCGTTAAGCGCAAAACGAAGAAGAATTGCATGTCGAGAAACTAAACAATTTATCGTTGAAGGAATTAGTATCATTATGATTTCAAGATGACGCGTATACTCGTCGAACGCAGTTAACTGGTTAAATAGTCTCGTGTTAGTCGAATGATTAACACTAAAGCTACCAGACTGCTCGAAATGACTTACTCCTGATTCCTAATTTTACAATCATTGAGAAGATACAAACGTTTCTCAGAGAAACGACTAAATAACCTGATTTAGTGATGTACGGGCTAAAATATAAGCCAATGGAAATCTCAATAAATAATATCCCCAGAAGGATAAAAGTCAATTTGATTGCCCGGTAGTTCTAGTGTTAACCATAGAACGTGTCTTTTCGGTGATCGAACTGATTTCCAAGCTCTATACTCGATATAATTAAGAATTCTTCATTTCGCAACGAGCACTCTGCGAAGCGAATTTGCAACGTTAACGATCGCCGAATCAAACGGTCACGGAAATAACGTTAACGACGTTGCAGCATATTTTTTTAAGAAATTCGTGAACAAGACATACGAATGTTCAATGGAATAACGCATTCGGATTCCTTTTCTTATTTCAATTGTCTGAGTATTTAGCGACTAGAACTGTAACTGATATAACTAATTAATATTCTAATCGTAAGCGCGCATTAACTTACCGTAAAATTCTTCATCGTGCACATTGACTCCGTTAACCACTTGCCCTATGATTTCTTTCACAATTAATGAAAGTATTTCAGCTTTAATAATTAATTATGAAAACAAAAGAATTTGATTCTTATTCTATCGGCTACATTCACTTCATACGTTGACGATTGATAATAGAAGAGAAACATTTAATTTATATTTAAGAAAAATAAATGACATTTAGATCTGTCAAATTTAGTTGAAAATTTTATCATAAGGCAAGGGGTTAACGATAAGCAAGATAATTTCATTTTCGATCGAACGAACCATTCTCTCGACGCCAGGTTTATCATTTTCACGCGAACTTCGTATTCAGAAAGCTTGTAACGACGTTCGAAACTTTTGCTAAACATCGTATCTCGTAATTAACGATTATAAGAGAACCATAAGGTTAAAACGGCATTATTTAAACCGGGAGGAATCGAGCGACGCGAGTCTTGAAGTATCTCTTTTCGAATAGAACTCTTTTTGTACCGAATCGTAGTGAATCAGTGAAAAATTCGTATACGAGCTTCTAGCGCGACGATAGGAACCTCGACGACGCACAGTGCGGCTAATTACCCATTTTCTAAACAGAACTCAGTAAGTTTAAAAGTATCAGTGATACAAAAGGAATGCTCGAAACAAAAGTTGCACGGTATAGAGCTATATGGCAGTTATATTTTTTGACATTATAGAGATATTACGAAGTTTTTTAAATGACAATGGACATTTTGTATTTCGATTATGTGGAATCAGAGCTACATGCTTCGGAGAATATTTTCCTTTGTTAAGAATCTATATAAATATATGTAACAATGAATAAGGTAAAGGCACCAGTAGTTGACCATTTTTCAGGAAAACATAAAAAATGAGGTTTCTAAGAACAATAATCTCCGAACCACTTTTACCTGAATTGAATTGTTTATCCTAAAATCTAACAATGTATTTTATTGGCATTGGTTGCGTCTCCAATTTCCAAGAAATTAACTTCTTTTCGTCTGTATTTGTTCTTTTACTCGTTATTTTCCATAGTTGTTGCAAATAAACGATATTAAAGTAATCACCTTTAATGTTTTTGGTTGTACCATCGATGGTTAACAGCTGACTGACATATGGTCAATTACTAGTTCTTTCATTTTAAATGATCAACTTCTAGCGCAAGTACTGAACTTTCAAAAGTGTCTATCAAATCTGTATAATATATTTCAAGAAAGTTCGCGTTGTCACATAATGTAAGAAGTTCAAACATTTTCACGCATAGAGTCTCTATCTAATAATGGAGCAGGTGTTTATTATTCACGCAGAACATTTTCTTTTAACTGTTCAACTATTAGTGCTTTCATCTTTCAAGGTAAAGATATAAAAAAGTACTGAACCCGGAATTATTATCCATTAATTTCTGAAATGAAAGTCGTTTTGTATAGCAGTGACTACTTAGCAAAGTAACTTTCAATTTTCGTTACGAGAATAGTCGAATTTTTGGGTTTTGTCCACAGGCAGCCGCACTGTGCGACGAGCAGATTTAATTTGTAACGATCATAGAGATTCCGCGCGAGCTGTGATCTGTTGCCACAGGATCAAACGTCACGCGAGATTCGCGCGGGAGAGGGGTTGTACTAAAGATTTTTCTACATTTTGCAACTAATACGAGCGCGCAGTTTTTCGCCGGGTTAGAGTCCTCGATCGTTTGCGAACAACTATCCCGGGACTGACGGAACCAGTATCCACTAGACGGTCAATTGAACACCACGCGAATGTCCACGAACGTAGTCGTAGTTATTCATTCTCTATTTGTAAAATTAATGGGAAAAATGTTGTAACCGCGTTTTCGGAGTTTTCGAGCATTTGCCTAATCTTTTTCTTACCGATAAGACGTATTTACTTACTTCGAGCCTCATGGTCACACCAAGCGCGATTTAACGTGTAAGTTGGGTTGCGATCGATGGTGATAAACATATATGGAAAACAGTTGAAAAAAAAACTTCTCTTATAAATATTACGAGGGAACGAAGCGTACGTTATTCCATTTTCGTGTTTAACCCCTTTCCATACGATCTATTTCGTAATCATGGTCGATACTTTGTCATTAAGAATTTATTAAGAAAAGAGAGAAACTCTAAGCATACTCTATGTTTGTTCTGTAATAATTGATAGAATAATTTGGATTCACGGATCGAGTAGTGTTTATGCTTGTTGAATTCTGTTTAACTAAAATTACCAAGTAATTATGTCTTATTTCTGATTTTTTATACAAAGTAGAACACGTTTCTTGAGATTCGAAGGGTTTTCTAGTTTTGTATCTATACAAATACGCAAATTGAATCTTTCGCCAAGATGCCTTCATAATTTAAATACTTGCTAAATAAAAATTCTGAAGTGGGTCAATTTGATAGTTTTAGTGTTAACATCTTCGTTGCAAGTCTAACACGTTATTATAAGGCGAGGGGTTAACTAAATCGCTTTTCGTTCCAACACGTATCTCTTCCATGAAATTCTAAGCATATTCCATGTCTATGTTTGTTCTAAACGATAATAATTGAGAAGAATAATATTTCATTCGAACTCAAAAGGATCGCGTAA